GCTCTGGGACTCAGAAATACACCCATTCAGTGTTAAATAGCACAGAGCAGAAAAGAAAACCCCATCAAAACCTACCGTGGTCATCTTCTTCTTGGTAACATTCAAATAATGCAAATTTTCTTGGATTATCAGCTACCTTGAACTTCTTAAGGAGAGCTACAATGACCTGGGAAAAAAAGGAGTATTTAAACAAAACTTACAGCAATATCAATTCATGATGGCTACAAACAAAGAGAGTAGTTTCTTTGAGGAAAATTGTGGTCAGTGTTCTGCACTGGAGAGCAAGTAAAATAGAACAGTTGAATGTCACCTGGAAGTTGAAAAAGGTGTCAAATGAATAACAATTGTCTAGAAAATTCCTGTTTTGAACATTAACCTCTCCTTAAAACTTAAAAATGTTGCAGCTCTCTCTTTTGGAGGGCCAACATTTGACAGCCTGATTTCCAAAATTCCTACTGTGGTTAATTCACAACAATCAGAATAAACTGCAGACAATCAACGAATTGTTGATGAACAATTCAAACAAAAGTTGATAAAATAAACAATATTAATTGAGAGAGTCCCACCTGGTGAACAGTAGTTTCACTAGTCACATGTAAAGCTTTCTCTGTCTCGAGTGGAAGAAAAAATGTTGTCCGTCGTGAGCTCTATGAGAGAGAAGTCAGGATTAGCTCTATATGTTGAAAGGATTGAGCTGTGTTGATTAACCTCCAAAACTCTCTTAACAGCTTTAATGTGTAATTAATAGTGCTCCAAGCTACAACTGCTTTGCTTACAAATTAACAAATGGTAAACAGCACAGTGCATGTACACTATTCCGTTGTGGATGCAAATAGGAGTTTGCTAGGCATGAAAGCATAAGAGTCACGCAAGGCTATCCCGGGAGGGCAACTCTATCTTCTTGAGTACATGCATGGGTAGATGGGGGACCATGAATTGACCAATCAGAACACATGCTTTACTTTGTTTAAGTTACAAGGGTCACACTTGGCTTGAGTACAGACTTAACCTTGACCTTAAAATGATTAAAATCACCTTATGATTCAGATCATCATCGTTTGACAGCACGGCTGTCTGAAAAATTGACAGGGGTGTCTCTCCTTCTTTGATATGGATTGGACGGAGCAAGTTCATATTCACACGAATGAAGCCTTGGTATGTCTCCTCAGTCCTCTGGTGAAAAATAGGCTTTGAATTAGAAAAATTAATGCAAACTTAAAGGAGGATCTCAATGCGGCAATGGCTTTTATGTAGGCTTACAATTAAAATTTTGGCCATTTCACAGCTTATTTCTTTCTGTTATGGTTAAATGAGAGCATTTTACAGTAAACTAACAGTTAATAATTTGTCAATTTTTTACAGCTAACAGCTAAATTTTTTTGGCTGTTTCATGGGTAATGGTTAACCCTATTAAGAACCTCTTTAAGTCACCTATATATGGTTCGGACACTAGATTGCCACTTTTTGACTTGGACGATGACATATTCGTTAATGCGAGATATAGGTATATATTAATTAGACAACTTAAATGGTGACAATATGCAGTCAATGGAAATCTCAGCCTGTGGACCATGTTTATCTAAACAAAATAATCTTCCCATTTTTAATTATAGTTACCGTACCATGCAGGAAGAACTTCTTAATAATCTTTGTCACATGAACACTTTTTATCATTGAATAAGATGTCAAAATACAACTTTAGTAAACCTTTTATAAAAGTGTGCGAGTGCTTGAAAAAAGAAAAATATAAAAAAATGCATGGAAAAATTTTTTCTGGAAAAGGTCCCCCTGAACTTTGAATTAATACAAAAAGTCCACTCGCAGCCTTTCATTATTGCTTATTGCATTTCAGTGGTTTACAGCCACTTTGATTGACATATGCTAAGTGTGAATTAAAAATCAGTTCACCACAATTACTAATTCAACATGATTAGCTTTCCAGACAATAGGCCATTTTACAGATGTGTACTTAGTCGCCAAGCCTTTGATTCAGAGTGAGGCTAAAGATGACCTTGTCGTGATAGAGACCTGTATCTAGTTAGCATGATAACAAAGTGATTTACATTTGAAAGGCAGCAAGGTTTGTATCATAACAAGGTCACCCTCAGCCTCACTCCCATTCAAAGGCTTGGCAACCAAGCACACTACTGTAAAATGGACTATTAACTTAAAAAAAAATCATGGTTACCATGGACATTATAAGTCCAGTTGTGCTTGAATTGAATTCATCAATTTTCCTGCGAAGAAGGCTTCCTGTTGGGGATTCTGTGTAAAGCATGAAAGGTTCTTTTCTCTTCTCTCCCTGTTAAAAATTCCGATGATACACAACTTCAGGTCAGTTATAAATCTTACAGATAACTACACATTGACCAAATGAGAACTCGCGATCAACACTAACAGTAGCCCACTTGCCACAGACTAGTAGAAATTCAGTTTTAGCTAGTGGTTTCCAGTTTCCACTAGCCAGTTTGGCTAGTGAACAAGCTGACACTGTCGTAGCATCTAAGATGTTGCTAGCCACTTGGCTAGTAAGTTGAAAAGTTAGTGTCGAGCCCTGCCAAATGCAGAAGGACTTTTAACCCTGAAACTCCCACGAGTGATGGAGACAGAATTTCAACTTACAAAATCCATAAAATATCAAGCACAAAACTGACAAGAATGAAGAAAAATATAAATTAGGGAATTATAAGTTGATCGGCCAATTAAACCAGATTCTCCAAAGTAATATTATAAAATTTGTATGGCAGACAGCAAAGAGAATCACTAAAGAGATCTTGAGAGTGAAAGTATTAAGAAAGAGAGAAACACAGCTCAGCAAAGGAAGACACAAGAGTGGAACCAAACTGCCGCAGAAATACAGAGCTAGTCAAGTCAAGAACGTCAGGGTCTTGTGCACTATCTGGTACATCAGTAACTTGAAATGATAATAACTGTCAGTGGATCATTCATTCCCAGATAATTTTTAAAACAGTCTCAACTGTTTGGAACATGGACAAAAATATTGTATTGAACTAAGTGCTGGTTAGCTGTATACCAAGTGGAGCCAAAACAATTTGGAGTAGATTGAACCGAGAGAAAATGAAGAACTGATCCAGAGTCAAAAAGGGAAGAACATCTGGGCCCATGGCTACCAGCCCCTTTTCTCTAGCCACAAAGATTCCAACCTCCAAAAAGCAGAACCAAGCAGGGCTCGACACTAACGGTAGCCCACTAGCCACAGACTAGTAGAAATCTAGTTTTGGCTAGTGGTTTTCAATTTCCCCGGGCCAGTTTGGCTAGTAAACAGACTGAAATTGTCGTAACATCTAAAAACATCTAAGATATCACTAGCCACTTGGCTAGTATGTTCAAAAGTTAGTGTCGAGCCCTGCCAAGCTTATCCCTTGATATCTCACTCTATCCCAGTCACCTCTCCCACACACCCAAAATCTCTGAATTTAAATATAATTATGTAATTATACTAATCAAACATCAAGAGATTCACAATTACCACCATCTTGTAAAAACATGACCCAAGTATTCTTTCATGGTGTTCAAATTTATTTGCAGATTGTATCTCTTCAACAGAAAAATATCCAACTTTACTTTTAAAGGGGAGTTTCCCAAAACTGCAAGGGAGACCAGAACATTGTTCTGTATCCAGAAAACTTTACAATAAACAGGAAGAGTTAAGATATATTCACTGCCCTCTCAAAATTGGGCATTGATATTACCTGGCCTACAAGATGTAATGTCTTCATGGTCACCTCATCCACTGACATCATTCTTTCATACAGCCAACTTCCGGTACAGTCTAAATCCACATCCTCTTTGCATCGCCTATGACATGTGTACTTGCAATCTGTGAACATACAAGCAGGAAAGTTCCCCTGAATTTAATGAAACTTCCAGCTTCAAAGCTCTATTCTCAAATTGAAATTGTCAATTGTTGAGGACAGGGTTCAATTCTTGAAAGTGTCAAATTGAGTTTCAAACCAAGATTGTTACCATACATTTGTGCAGTACCAATGTCACAATAATTTTCTTTGTTTTGGGTTTGTAAAAAATGCTCTTACTGCTTATTACCGGTAGATCCTAGGAAACCTTTGAAGATTTGCTTGTCAGAAAAAAAACACAATATGAAGATGCAAGCATAATCCAGACAGGAACAAGAATGCAAAAGAATACAGAAGATTAGAATGGATTGATGAAAACTGATTGACAGAAACTAAACCCTTTGGGGGTTCAATTATTTTATAAATAGAAAGAATCCATTTAAGATGACATTTGCCATTCATTTAAAACAGGATATATAAATCTAAACTTCACTCTAAAAGCAGAAAATTGAAATATATATAGTCAAGCTTCTCTTACATTTAAAATCACCTATAGTAAATTTACTTCATTGAATTATTTTCTTGCAACATCGTAAAAATGTCTACTACAGAAAAATGTCTTGCCCCAGGGATACCTTAAAAGTGACAGACCATTCTTGAAAATTTATTGATTGAAAACAGCCTTAAATGTGAATGACTACATTTTTTTTTCTCTTGATTTTAGAAAATGTTTATAATTTATTTTTAATTAACAATAAGTAAGAAGGTGTCATTTTTCTGATTAAATCTCTTATTTTGGTCTGACCCACTAATTTTGCCCAATGAAACTACAGAGAATTAATACAGGTGTGCTTGGTGAAAATACTTCTCCTCTGCCAAGGTTGATAATTAAAGAATGATCAATCTTTTTGGTAAATTATGACTGATTGTATAGAAGCTTTCTTTTTTCCTGTCACATCAAAACTTACAAAAAATGTGGTTCATTACCAACAAAAAAATAAAAAAAAAACTGAGCAATTTGTATAATCCTTACTGTATTTAAAGGTAATTTTTGATTATTACAAAATTGCATGCAGTCAAATTCACAATTTGCTTCTTTCTCCAGTATAATCCCCATTAAAAATTAATTTGTTCCAGCCTCAAAATGCAATTCAGTAGTCCCAAGATGACACTGAAACCAAAAAATTTTCTGACTACTTTTCAAACTCTCTTATTACAAAAACATTGATTAATTCAATAACAACTTTATCAATAATCAAATACAGAAGAATGTAAATGAAAACATAGTGAGGTATGCAACCCTTGTCTGTAAAATAATTTATTTTATGTTATTTTAGGTTCGCATTTTTTCAATAAACAAATGGCCATACCTACTGACAAGTAAACATCTCTTTCACAACAAGAATGCCTAAGAATGAAAGAGATGACTGCAGTTTTGTTGATCTTCTTCATAAAGACTGATACAGACTGTGGTAACACTGTTCATTTGTGGCTCATCAGTAACATGTACGTAAAATAAGTTTCTTTAAGCTAATTTGTTTAGAAGAGAAATATTCTGTTGCTGGCTTGGGACCAGTCAAAAGTTCAAATTTCAAGGCCAAAGGAAGGTAAAGGAAATTTGAGAATATCTATAACTTAAGATTATATAATATTTCTTAGGATTTAGAGCTTGTAATTTAAATTTTGCAATAATATTATAATTCAAGTACAGGCACAAGGGCAAATGAAGGCAAATCCCTGTGAATGCAGAAATTAGACTCAAAACTTCATAAGACTCTTCTTGTGTTAGAAGAGGATAAATAGAATGGATGTTCTACACAATAATGTTAATTAACAATTCCAAATTCCACCATTAGTTATTCAAGGGTCCTAGCTGTTAAATAGCATGTTTACACAGTGATAAATGTTTCCTCTGCCGGAAAATGTTTTTGGTTGTCTTGTATAAAAAAAAAAAAAAAGAATCCTTGAGTGTGAAGGAGATCTCCTCTCCCCTCCAGCCCCTACTTATACTGAATACCCTCGGTAAATGAAGACCCCAAAGGCCTAACTTATATTACCTTCCAGTGGTGACCAAAGGATGAGTTTCCCACTACAATATCAAAACATTTTCAGCAGTCTGGACACCTACATCAAAATTGAGAAATTTTGTTCCATAAAACCTGTATGCAGTGTTTTGCTTTTTATCATTTACAATTTCACGCTGCATCTTTTACTTGTGAATAGTTTGTTGCAGCGATGTAGTGTTCCTTCATCTAATAGTCAAAGACAAAGAGAGGTTTTCATCTATCTCTCTGTTTGGTTTGAGGGTGAACAATCAGTTTATGTAATATTGCACAGTCTGCTGGAGTTTTATTAATGAAGCAAGTAGTCTCCAAAGAGTCCAAACTGTTACTGTGCAACCTTACCTTCCTCAGAAGTGACCAAAATATACTTTCAGTTTGCTTGCCTTTAACTTTAATTACTTAGCACTTCTTGTCAAATAGTTTTTTTGATTTTGAGTCTTTTTTTTCAATTTTTCATTGAAAAACAAAAATTCCTTGATGGGAAAATTCTAAAAGCAGCCAATCTATATGCCTTTAATATTGGGGGTCAAGGAAATCATTTGTCTCGCATAAACATTTTGATTGATAAACGCTTAGCAATAATTAATATTTAATGTAGCATGTGAATATTCACAGCCACTTCAACATTTAAGTGAATTCCTGAACAAAGGAAAAAAACCGGTTAAAATAGCACGCATCGATTTACTGAGATCAAGAGAAAAAAAAACAGTTAAACGATGACGGTAAAAATTCAAAATTGGACGAGTTAATTTGTTTGAAACCAGTTTACGATCAATACGACATATACATTACAAGCGCATCATTTGTTATGAGATTAATTCGTACTGGACGTATAACTGTACGAACTTCACCAGTGTTTCAGGTTCAGCAGTGTTTTCGATCTTACTCCATTTGTACTGAACACTGGACTTTGCCATAAGGGAAAAAAAACTTGCATTCCTCGTGGTTGATATGATTCCAGAAGCTACGATCAACATTGTGGGTGCGTGTTATATTTAGGATTGTTTACTTCCTACAAAATTGACAATATGGGCCGACTGGCTGTTGAGCAAACAGCCAGATGTGATGAATAGTAGAAGAATCCTTTGCCCGAAATTTAATCCTGAATATGAAGAAGAAACACTTTATAATTACTCACTTTTGCAGCGCACACATTGCTTGAAGATTCCCCAGATAAACTCTCCACAACAATCACACCATGTAGGATTCCGTAGTTGATGTTGAATAAACGAATGACCACTACCGACATGTCTAACCAGCGCTTTCTCGTCGCTTACATTTTCGGTGGTCACAGATCGTTTTATAGTGCTTCGTTTCTTAGGTCCTTTCCTATTGACAAAGTTTGCGATGAAATCTTTCACTGGATTACTTGCAGTATGTTTCGCTGCGGGGATATGAGGTACAGATATAGCGCGAGTCCTGTCCCGATCGTTCGCCATGTGAGATTTTATTTCAGCACGATTTCTATCCAGAGAGTTGGGATTTTGAGGTTTCGTTTCTTCGTTCAAGAACACATCGTCACTTTCCATTACCAAAGCTGTTGATTGTGTTATCAGATAGAGAAGAGCCAACAAACCTCTTTCAAAAATGAGCAACAACCTCAATGTTAACCAGTCGAGGATTCTGTTCTTGGGCAAATTACGATTGCCGTTCTGCAATTCAGTTCGCATAAGGGCCTAGGATGAAACGACTCGAAAGGAAGACTTGTATACGATTGTCACACACATCCTGAAACTGAAGCTTCAATTTTAGCTCGCTGACCGCCATGTTCGTATAAAGTGAAATATGATCTCTATTGGCCTAAGGGGTTGCGTCATGAAACAAATCCGATTCTCTCTGGGTAGGGAGGCCAGGGGATTAAGGGATTCACCTCATTTTCACTTTCGGCAAAACGATCGCGAAACAATTTCAAACTTAGCGTACAAACACTTGGGAGAGCGGTTAAAATTACGTCATTGAATTACCTGGCTAGATTAAAATAACAATTCTCCCACAGAAGTATAGTTTCATAAACTTCGAGGAACTTTTTTTTTAGCTGTGACATTTTTATTTCTAAGTGAGAATTAGAGTTTTGATTAGCAAGGATAGGTCTGCTGCAAAAAATATTGAACAACCTAACAAAGAAATGGACAAGATAAAAAAAAAATAATAAAGTAAAAGAAGACAGGGCCGAGTTCGACTATCTTGGACGGGCTGTGAATAACCGCCTATTCACAGGTGCTATCCCACTACTGTTTGACGCGGGAGCTTTTGCCTGCTGTGTTTCCACCCTGGGCCGGTTCGCTCCTCTTTAACCAACCTGGAGAACTCAGATTCCTCTGTGTTCACCATATTGACGCCAAACTTAGCGCGGACACCCGATCTACATAGAACGACTACCCCCAGGAATCCCGCCCTCAAGCCATTCAGCGGCCCCAGCCTCCAAGCAGCTANCGTACGGAATGCTCGATTATACCTGTCATCCCACCCAACAACCACACACGTACACGCTCCCTTGAAAGAGGGGTCTGAATGGGGTTTAGTGTTTAGTGTTATTTTCCTATATTTTTTAGTGTTTACTGTTAAATTAGCCATTTTTTTTTAATGTTTACTGTTCTTGAAAAAAATACTGTTTAGCGTTTGAAAGGAGATCCCAAAGTTCTTTTAGCATTTTCAAATTTTATCTGCTCTTTTAAATTCTGCAAGAAAATCAATAAAATCACTCGCGAACAGTGAGCCAAAGCTGAAATGCTCTTGCCTTCATTCTGGGGAGTATTGGGACGAATCAGTGTTTACGATTGTAAACGCTTGTGTTAAAAACACAATCGCTGAAGTAAGGCAGCACTATAAAATGAAAGAAATGGCAGCAACAAATGACCCTGAAGGAACTATTTCCAGCAAAACACAGGAGTCAACCGGGACTTTAAGATGGTACATTACGGTCGGTTGGGACGGTTGGAAGCGCGTACACGGGCGGCCTAGGACCAGGACGGTAAAAAGGCGCGAAAATTTTCACCTTAAGTTCGGGCAACAAGACAGAGGATAGTGAGGTCAAGATGCGAGACTCACTCGTAATTTCTTTCGCAGAAGGAGCAGTTAGTGAAGAAGAGTTTTAACTTTTATACGAAGAATACGAATCAGGGAATCCTTTTTATCTGTATTGGGAATTTGAGCCATTTTATTTAGAATTTGTTGCCATTCAAAGGATCAACAAGCTGAAAGAAAAGCAACAGAATCTTCAAAACACTGTACCAGAATGATTTTTTCACACAAAAAAAGAATTTCATGTGAACGAAATTAGTCCCAACAGTAGGAAAATTTATCATTTACCATACGTGAATAAAATTGCGTGCAAAGTGGCTGTATACTACGGTGGCCTACAACTGTCACGGCAATAACAAGTACCTCTCGGAAAAACCAAAAAGCTCACGGCAATAGAGAGTTTTAGATCCGAGTTTACCGCGAACCTCTAACTGCTAGAGGTCACGTGACAAGCAAATTACTCACGGCAAACCTAAAAAGTTCACGGCAAAACCAAAAAGCCCACGGCAAAACCAAAGAGCTCACGGCAAAACCAAAAAGCTCATCGCAAAACCAAAAAGCCCACGGCAAAACCAAAAAGCTCACGGCGAAACCAAAAAGCTCAAGGCAAAACCAAAAAGCTCACGGCAAAACCAGAATACTCACGTGCTCACGGCAAAACCAAGACCAGATCCGTGGGTCCTGGACACTAATTGTGCGCGCAAAGGCTGTTGTGGGGGTGTTACAAAAATGTGCACGGTCGTAACTCGACTTTGTAGACATTTTACATACTGGTTTGGTGGGGGTCTTAGTTTTCGCAATTACGGAAACTAAGAAGGGTCTTCGTTTTCGAAATTACGAAAACCAAGATCCCTAAATTTGCCTAAAACTCGGTGGAAAGGTTCGGAAAGGTGATAATTTGACAGATTAGACCTGTTTTGGTTACAATTAGACTTTACATTTCGACGGATTCGATTTTAGGGGGTCTTAGTTTTCGTAATCTTGAAAACTAAGAAGGGTCTTAGGTCTAAGGTCTTCGTTTTCGAGGGTCTTAGTTTTCGTAGCACCCCTACAACAGCCTTTGCGCGCACAATTAGTATCCAGGACCCACGGATCTGGCCTTGGTTTTGCCGTGAGCACGTGAGTATTTTGGACGTATACAAAACATGGACCGGGGTACATGGACCGGGGTCCATGGACCACCCCTATGGACCCGGTCCATAGACCACCCCTATGGACCACCCCACTGGAACTTAGTTTTGTCATACACTAATTAAATAAATAAGTAAAAGGACTTCCTTTTACGCAGGGTAGTACAACAAAGTCTTGCGACTGTACATAGCTCGCAATACAGGCGTACTTTGTGGGTACGAGCAATAAATACTCACCTGACCTTTGGATCGTTTCAAGGCAGCTGCCATCTTGGATAAGAGAGCGCGAAGGGGCTGGAGTGAGTTTATGTTATCCGGCAACCTACCCCCTCCAAGGTTACGCTTCGTTTATAAGGAAACTAAATGATTCTGTGCTCTCTCATTAAAATTACAAGCTACCCATTAAACTTTTTCATCAATATACCTTCATTACAAAATGTGTTCGTAGGGTAAACTTCGCTTATAAAATAAATCGGCTTATTTTTATGCACGATAGAGTATAATAAGCGGGGTAGGGGTGTCTTCCCGATCGAATTGCAATTTGGAAGTGTTGGAATGAAAATATTGGGGGTAGAAATGCACTCGATCTTCTGTATCTCAAAACGAGTTTATGGTCTTCCCATTTATGGGGGCGCGATAAATACGAGTCCGTGTTTTTCATACCCTGACCTCCGGTAAATTTTCATATTAACAGGGGCGATCTCCTT